AGTTTCGTGGACATTCAAACAATACATAATAATAAATTTTGTTTCTTACAAATATAAGTCTTATCCTGATTTATTTAGTATTAATTGCAGAAGGAAAATAACCATAAAAAGTAAAAACTAATCAAGAATAAATTATCGATTTTTCGTGACGTTAAAAAATTTTATTTAGGTCAAACAATGAATATTAATTACATAAGTTTTAAGTGAATTTCGAATCGAATCTCGAAGAACTCGAGAGACTTTTATAATCCGTATTATCGTCTAATAAGTTTCTATCATTTTGAGAACGTGTATATGAATACATATTACTGATTAGATCCATTGAGAATACTTTCAGTTTTGTTTTATTTTGGGAAGATAGAATGGCCTCGTCACCCAAATCTACTTTCATCAATTCCCGATCTTATAGTAACGATGCAGCCTACGCCCTCATAACAATATTGTCCACAGATCTTTTCTTTGACCTATTCTCCTGATCGTTCGATTGCCCCCAGCAACTTTGGAGAAGAACAGGGAGAAAGGGAAGGCATTTGGGTCGACTAGACAACCATTGCGCAAATTCACCAATTCTCAACACGTCGTTCATGGCTTCGAGGCATGAAATGAGGCAATTCCGACGCCTCCGGCTACAAGAGGGGAAGTCAAACGTGTTCCTACCAAAGGATGAACTGTGGTCGATGATTTTTATTTTGACCTACAAACCCTCCATCCGTCTGTTTGATTCAGGAAGGAAAAGGCTAAGATGTAACTTTTTACTGAGAAAGAAAAGTAGGAAAGTTGCACTCGATGTTTTGCTCTCGGCTTTAAAACACTACTTGATTGCTTTGGAATGGTGATGAGACAGAATTACGTACGAATTATAATTAAATATTTAAAAACATTTAATTAAAAAATATATAACTGAGATGATTTTGTTTGGAAAAGTAACTAAAATCAACTCTAAAAACAACAATTAAAAGTTCGGGCTTCTGTCATTTTATCAAATCTTTGTCACGTTTTCAAAAATGTTCTTAAAAATTTTATAATTTTTATTTTTCAAATATATTTTTTTAAAATGAAAGAAAATTTGAAACGATTACAAATATTATATCGTCTATAGTATATAAAATAATTAAAGAATGAGCTATTATTTCCGGAATATAAATCTATTTATTATATTCTATATATATGTTTGCAATTTATTCATTTTTTAAAAAATTTTAGAATCAACGTTATAAATAAACTTATACATTTTACTTTCATAATGATCATTTCATCTTGGTGTTCTCATCAGAATGCGCATAGAGATGTGCCGTCATTCGTATAATGTCTACATTTGCGCAAAATTATAATTTTAACTATGATAAACACTCGGATAATTATTAATAATAACAGAAAAAATTAATTAACAAAAACTCACCTAAGCATTCTAAAAATGAAGAAACTGTACTAAAAAAAAATCCGTTAACCCACCACAAAAATCCACCTGTCAGCGTCAGCCACACCGATTTAACAGCGAATGACCTGTAGGAAGAGCAGAGATGCTTATATATCGCCCGTCCCTCCCCCAATTTTGCTCCAGAATTAGTCGCTAGCAGATCAAGGGGTCGTCCATAGTCCCATACCCGTTCGCCTCACGTGACTGCGGGAGGCGATTCGTCGTTGGCCCAGTTCGTAATACATACTGATGCTACGAAGACGAGAAGGCGAAGCATAGGAATAACTGATATCCTCGACCTAGCACGAATAAATATTAAAATAGAAGGGTACCTACCGGAGCGCATTTGATAAAGTTTACCGCCCTCCAACCGATTTACTTCACGAAAAATGTTGCAAATTATATTTCTGAATGAAAAAAGCTTCGAAAAGGGAAGTTAAAAATTATTAATAAAATATACATTTTAAAAAATTCTGAATTTAAAGTCACTATTAGTTTTAATATTTAAAAAAAAAAATCGAAGACACGTTTTGCATTATGATCGCATCAATCCATTTTCAGCTTGCTCATCAACGTGTTTTGAATTTTCAATTTGTTTTTTAAAAAGTTGTCATTTTAGAGGAAACACATTGAACCGCATTAAACTCACAAATATTGAAGTAGCATAGTCAAAGTTTTTGTTTTCCTAACTACTATACTATTACAAGTTTTTCCTCTACTTCAAATGATAAACGGCTTCAATCGAGATTATTGAAGTATTTTTATGTAACATTATAAAAAAAGAAAAAAATGTATGTAATAATAACTGTCTTCAGTTTAGATTGTGACCGTATATAATCCGATAAACAATACCGTTTCCGATAATAAAGGTTCTTCATAAAACAAATTAGAGTTATTACTATGTTAGATTATAAAGCCCAACAAGTATCTCTGACAGAGATGTTGACGTACGTCAATTGACAGTTCAGACTGTTCTAGATTTTTCTTTAGCATTGTCCGAAGAGATGATTGGATTATTATCCCACAATCGGTGTTTCTTTTTATTTCGGTTATATTTTCTTAACCTTAATAACATCTGTAACTTTCGTTTGAAAAGAAACTTGAAGATAACAACTGACATATATATCGTACCTTCCGAGACAACAGATCTTTATTTTACTTCTTATTTCACGCAAGAAAGGGTACTTTATTTCCTAAAGAGGGAAAGGAATCTTAATGAATCACCTTGAATAATTTTTGAAACATTAGGCCTATATAATTTTTATAACCGTCATAATCGCGATTTACTAACAATTTTGTATTAAGAAGTGGTTTTATCATTGAAGCTAATATCAATCATATTAAATTAAATAGCCTCGAATCACCAAACTGGATTTATTGATATCTTCTCGTTTAAATCCATTAATATTCGATATTATAAATTTGAATTAAATACTTTTCTACTAACTAGAACATCTATAAGATGAGATTTATATGATGGATAAGGAATAGTAGTTGCTATGTAATTAATGAATAGATCAATTTTAAACAATCATGTTTTAAATAATACATTATGATATATACTCAGTCCTGCCGCTTTAAAATTATTTTAGGCAATGATTAAACTTATATATGTTGCAATTTTTGAAATAAATTTTATATTTTGTCCACACGTGGCAATTCTTAGATGTTTCCTTTTGTGGGGGTAACAAAGATTAACTTTTTGAGGTCAGTTTAAATATTATTTAAGAAACCTATTCTGTTATTCAACAGAATTCTTGTAGACCTGTCTGTAAATGTGCTCTGACTATATTCATATTTATATGCATGTTAATAAAATCAGTGGTATCTTCAACGAGGTTAAGAGAACCGTTAATCGCATCGAACGTAACTCATATTTAGGATGACACATATAGTACTGCTGTTTGTGGAATTAAAAAAGATCTGGTTAAATATCCATTATATAGGCCATTGAATAAAATAAACTAATGTAACTTATAACGTTTCATTACAAATTACAAGACCATTATGTAAAGAGTGAAAGTCTATTTAGAAACAGGATATGCTAGAATAATAGCCTAAGAACATAGTAATTAAAGTTTTGGATAATTATAATTAATGTTATAATTATTCTTAATAATATACCTTCTTTCACCTTTGTCGTTTTTTAAATTCAAATTAGTAGTAATTCCGTTAAGCGAAAATTTAGCGTGACTATAAATCATTTTTGACTAGTTTTTCGAGAAAGTCCACACATCACTAGAATATAAAAGATTTAAAGAAATGTATAAAATAATTTTTAAATTAGATTTAAAGATAAAATCGCGTGATTTAACAGAGTTAAAATCAAATAGGTCTATGTTATTCTTTCTAGATATAGTCTGGTTATGCTGAATGATTTCAGAGTTGATACAGTCTTCATGCAAGAGAGATTCCAATATAAACCAGATTACTTATCTCATTGCTAGTTTCTCAGTTGAGATAGAAATATAACTAGGGAAAACGAAAAATTGAAAATAATAATTGTTTAAGGATAATAAAAAAAGCGACGACCTTGCTAAGCTTGTTTTACGATTTATTTCCTAAACAAAGTTGTTGTTTATCAAAAATTGGCAAACAAAAAAGACTCGGCAGAAATAAAATTTAAAGAGTATCTAATTATCTAGTTAATTGTTTTAAATCATTTATTGATTGCTAATAATTTCATGTGAAATTTTAATTGAATTTCTTAAAAATTGCTAGAATAATTCAGATAATATATTTATCAATTCATTTTAATTAAACATATTTGAATTACTCTAACAATTTTTTAAGAAATTCAGACGCTTTGATCCAGAGCCAATACCGAGTTCAGACGCCTTGATGTTTATCACCAAAAACTAAATTTCATTTAGATTTATTCTGTAAGCTTGTCATGTCCGAAAAGATATGATAAATGAACAAAAACAGAATTTGACAAATAGCTAGATCCTATATAAATCATTCAATAATATCTGAAAAGATTTATTAGACCATATTTTACTTGAATATGCTGTAATTCTAAATATTTGAGCGCGATGATGCATCGCTTAACGACCTATATTAATCCTAAATAATTTTATAATGAAATAAATTATATAATTATTATTATTTCTATTTGAAATTAAACGATACTTGTTTTAAAAGAAACTCGGAATGGTAGTATTTAACCTCGGAAGAATTTGATAAACAAAATCTAAAATTTTAATACCTTGTAACGTAATGATGTAGATATAATATTACTCTGTGAACGAATTATATTAAATTTTTCAAATTTCGAAATAAATAAGAAAAGAAGGAAAATTTAAAAAATCAACGTGAACAAAATGATAAACTTGTGTGCAAAATTATTCTAATTTTACTTACAGGTTTGTCATTTTAAATTAAATTAAATTATTGTAGTTTTATTTTTTCCCTAATTACCATTTCAATATTAAATGTAAACATTGTATGATCTAGTGATATTTGTTTTGCATTATTAAAAATGCTAATTGGATATAGAAAGATGAAAGCCTTCAAATATATAGGCTATATATTATACGATATTTGTTTCAAAAAAAAATTCGAGATTTCGATTACTACTTACATGAACGTTACATATGGACGTATCTTCTTATTCCGAAGTAAACAAGTAAACTGGAACTTCTGATGTAATTTCTGATGATAAAATATCATTCAGACATTCCGATAAAGATTATGACCGCCTTTATTTACGCTCCAAAGAAATCTACCAAACACATCGTCGCTTTAAAATGAAATCACAACACGAATCTTTCCAACCGTTTGAAGTTCATTTTATCTAACTACTCCCAAAAACGCAAATATTACATTTACTTATATAGAAAAACTTCCTAGTTTGTCTACAAAAATTATTTTTTATAAACTATTAAGAATAAGCTCATTTATACCAATTAAAACTATTTGAATATAAATGGAATTGCGAGGAAAGTTAATTTTTCCCGTTTTATACGATTGAAAGTTGAGATTTAAATAATTTATCAATCATTATTTCGACATTTCTCTAGTGAAATAGAGAAATATTCCCGATCGTGACGGACAAAAGTGGCTTATTTTAACCAGATTGATTCCGTCGTGACAAAAGCGACCCTTGATCATCACGCTCTGGCCTAGAACCCATTTAGAGGTGGGTTCACAGATGAGGTGGTCTTTACTGACCATTTTGAACCAGGCACTGAAGAGAACCGTTTAAAAGCTGATAAGACCGCTTTTATGTTAATAGAATCAGTGAAAGTACCGAGAGACACAAAAAGCGAGTGTAGTTATAATTGGAATCACGTCCCATCGCTATACAATCTGAGAAGCTACTCTACGCCTCGATTGGAAAAGATCATCCAAAAACGTGAATAAAAATGTCTTATTTGAATATAATACTCTCACGACCTTCTAACGAGCTGTTCTCTGTCTGTGTTTTTATGCAGAAAAGGTTGTTCGAATTTTCTTTGGAGACCTAATACTTAAATAGGCCATTTTATCGTCTTAAAGAGGGGATAATAGCATAAAAACTAGACTCGGCTACCCACAATAACCACACAGACGCCTTCGCCTATGGGTAACTGGGCCACCCTACCTGGCAGAGAAATTTTGAAACAAACTAGTAGTCCCGAATGAAAAATGTGGAACTCGTAAATTCCTTCATACTCGCAGATGGTCTTTACCAGACGATCGAAGCCAAAGTTTAGTAATTATTCGATTGTTCTATTTTCTAAACAAAAGCAAGACCGGTGGCAATTATGTCTGTAAAAAGCATTTATCACTTCGATATATGCCTTCTTATCTGACGCGTACCGAGCAGAATTACATAGCCCCGAAGCAATTATCTCTCCACACAATGAAGATTGCGTAAAAAAATAAATGAAGAAGGATGAAGGATACTAGTTCTTTATGAAACATGAATGCTCCGGGTGAATTCTCGATTAGACTTTGGGCCGTGTCACATGATGGGGGTCTCTTATGGAACTACTTGTGGGTAAGGCACTCGAGTGAATGATTACTATTAGTATTAATTAATGAAAGCAAGAAAGGAGAAGTGGTGCAGTTTTTTAATATATGTGAGTCATAAAGGGTGAAGCATACTTCACAGTCACGAAACTAAGCTAATGTATTGTTGCCTATACAAGAAATCGATCACCTTTTGCTTTTCACACGCATTAAGTATGCGTATTGTATAGGAATTAAATTTGCATCCTTAATTTATAAATTTTATCGATTCGTTGTCATAATACTTGTTGAACAATATTAAAAATATGTACTGTACTTAAAACAAGGAAAAGCTTAATGATGATTATTAATCTGCATAATAACAAATCCATATAATGTAGGCCTATTAATTTCTTAAAGCGGACATGAAGAGTGCCTTAAAATAATAACTAATTCAATTTTCAGTTTTAATATAATAATATAATGTATTGTTTTCTATAAATGTAATTGCGTGTAACCAAAACATACAGAAATTTGTTGTCTAAACACTTTATAAATACAAATTTTTGAAAGAAATATGAGATTTCATCTATAACAGGCGAATGTCTTGCCTTTAAAGCGACGAATATTTGCGTAAGAATCAATTAAAATTAAATAAAACGATTACAGTTCCTGAAGAATATCAGTAAATTCTAAAATATGCTTCTATAATCGGAACAAATCCGTAAACATCTGCCCGAAATAATAACTTGCACAGCCAACGACCAGATGAATTTTCTATAAATTTTGATGATGCAACTTTCAAAACTGGTCGGGTGAAACTTATCTAAAAATAACAGCCTCCGTTATAATTTAATGCTCTTCGACGTCTATAAAATAAAACAGAAACGTAAATCGAAACACTCTCAGTTTCTCTAATGAAGTTTTATGGAGGAAGTTTGTTATTAAATTGAGAAAGTCAAGATTTTTTTTATTTAGGGATTATCACTCCTGTAACCTAGTTGTATAAATAGCTGCACTCAACTTCTTAGTCGAGGAAATTAGGTCGAATAAGATGCAAAGGTTATTGAAACAAGACTGAGAATAGAATATTTAATTGAAAAGCTGTAACAGAGTTAATTTGAGAAGACACAGGTGCGATAACCTTAACTATTAGAACAAATCAATCTTCAATGGTTCGGGCTTAAAAAGGAAGATGATTATTTCTAGTTAAGATGACTAGCAAATTAGTTTCGTGTCATCTGTGCCTCCTCCGGTGTACGGAATGCAGTTGTGACATTGTGTCACGCGGAACGTAACATATTTTCCTTTATATATTCATTAATCTTTTGCTAATGATGCAGGAAATGGAGATTTTTATGTAATACCCCCTACCCGATATTAATTTGATTATTTTGCATTTTTCTCGAATAGGAGTCGAATTGTATTGGAAATTTCATACTATCTTTTCAGAGAAGAATCGAGAGAAGTTTTAACAGTGATGATATACATTAGACACGCGCTATGTATATCCGATATAGATCATCATCAGATAAATGGAATAAAAATGATAGTACGATACTTTAAAATAAATCTAGATCATGACAAACTCGAGGAAACAATTTCTGGAAGATTCGCCTTTCCAGGAAATAATTGGAGAGAAAGTGATTCTTCCTCAAAAAAAAAAAAAAAAAAGAAATCTGAACCATAAGTATCGTATATTTACCCGCGAAGATGTTAAAGGAAAATGGTGATAGAAATTACCCCAAGGTGATGGGACGCGCCAAATTCCATTCGGTCGGCGACCTGAGTTATTTTTCTGAAGGGGTTAAGTTTTGTGCGTCATTGTCAACCCCTTACGTAATCTATAAATGTCTGCTAATTTCATTTTTTTGCCATGCAGATAGCGTAGCACTTAATTATCATTTTTTACACGATTAGATCAACACGACTATACATCATACGCGTGTTTAAACTCCTGTTTTGATCTAATTTATTCTGCTCTAGTAAAGTGATTTCCGTGACGGACAGTAGATGGCGACACCGTGTAAAAGACGGAGTTTTTCTGTCCTAGTTAAGAACGGACATTGACAAATGGATTTCGTGTCTTATCAAATGTTGGGCGAGGAACAAAGGTTGGAATTATGGATAGGTCGGTATTGTCCCAAAGTAGAACGCTTTGTTCTGACCCTCAATTGTAAGACTTATGGGTTTGGTCGAATTATCGGATATAGGGTGAAGAAATCGTGGCTTTGTTTTGACTTGTAAATTATATCACGACAGCTATTTTTCTGTATAATTAATCCAGAACGAAAAAAAAGAAAAAAAAATCAAAACAACTTTTTATTCCCAGAACCAATAATAAACTATGTACAAATTAATTTGTCTTTTCTCTTAAAAAATTTTATCAATCGCCATCCTAACATCTAAATGAATTAATTTTTGTAAAAAAATATAATTTTTTTTATTATTATTTTCATTTCGTGAAGAACTTTCACGAAATAAACGTCATTTCTTTTTTTTTGTACAATGTACAGAATATTTTACATAGACGTGCTTTTCGACTACTACTTTCAGCAATAATTTATCGTAGCCTAAGTTATTTACAAGGATTTTAATTTTGAGTCGCTTATTTTTTCTTGTAGCCTCCGTGGACTGGATCTTCTTGCCAATATCTTAAATCTATGTCGGGAATATCGGAGCAGTGCAGTCGGGGATTACTAGAAAACGAATATGTGAGTGAGTCAAATTTTATTTAATTACTACATAATAAGAGAAAAAGTTACACGTTATGTACTTACTAAATAGGATGTGGGAGCCTCATCACCCAAAGTTGAATAGTGGGCATATCGTCAGCGTTTTCGCATATAATTTTGGCTTGAGTGGCTTTACGGATCTCGCGCAGTTGTTCTAGAAATTAATTATAAGTTTAAAAAATAAACTTTTCTTCTTTCTCTCTTTTTGCTTTTTGGAAATTTTATGGAGAATATCTACAAACCTGGAGTGAAAGCGGAGGGGAAGCCAGAATTTTCAAACCAAAATCTATCTCCTCTCTTCAAATTGGAGAACTGTCGAGCTATGATGCAAGCGAATGTAGGGCCTACCATAGCTCCAGGTAGAACCCTTTCGGAAACACCAGCACTCCACAGATCGATATCGTCAGGATGCCTTGGAAAAATTTCGAAATTAAAAATAAAATAGAAAATCGAAATTTAATTATTAATAATGTTTAATAACAATATGCTTACTTGTAAATTTGAGAATACTTAAAAGCTGTTTGGTTATTTAGATAAGGTTCTAGATCGGAAAAGGTTTTAGCGCGAGGTAGTCCACACCATTCACGATAGTCGTTATATCCGGGTAAACCGTGTTCTCTTCCTCTTAATAAATTCATTGCCGCTAAATCCATTCCAAAATGATCGGGTGGCTCTTGAAACAAGTGATTGGTCACCTAATTCGAAGGAATAAATGGTTTTGAACATTTCGAAATGATAAACGTATCCTGTAAAAGCGTCTTTCCATTCAGTACACGGTTTTATTGCAGTGAAGTGCGTTTTACACAAGTCTTACCTGGTCTGTGATAAATGGGTCATATGTTTGAGCGGGTGTATTTATCAGACCTCCTATTAATTCATCTAATTTTCCGGGTTCGTATAGAATGAAGGGATGTCGGAGGAGGTTGTGCAGTTCGTGTTGTCCTTAAAATAAATAAATAACTTAAAATAAATATTAAATTTTATTACAAGCTAAAATAAATCATTTTCTTTTGTATACCTAAAAATTCGTGATATTTATTATATCTCCGAACCATCCCTTGAATGTGGGTATGTCCGAATCTGAAGGCAGCTGCCTGGAAAGCGTTTCCTAAACCTAAATGGACATCCGGATCATAATGGTTCCAATATCCCTGAGATAATGGAAAATTAGATATAAGAAAGGCATAGTTTAGTTATATATAAGATTTTAAATGTATCTTACGTCTTTTAATAAAGTGAGATTATATTTGTGCATCAGATCGTCTCCTAGAGTCATAGGTAAAAATTCGTTGTATGTAATATATTGCAGAGCTGCTGCAAGAATGTGGCGAGTCTCGTGATATATTCTATGATCGTCCCAGTGTGGATTCAACTGAGCTAATTTTGTAGCTAGTCTATTATGATCTCGGACATAAAGAGTATGCAAAACTGTCAAGTGGATCTGTTCGTTAACTCGTTCGTCTCCTAGAATTATGTATATCGATAATTGTAGTTTGATAAGCAATATATCACACACGTTAATAAGGAACATAATAATATACCAGCCAAGAAGCAATACATTCGACGAGGTCTAGCAATACAGTCTCGTTCAGCGTTATCAGATTGAGCAGGTAATAGAGGTTTAAGTCCATATTCTCGGAAACGGTCCCATGTTTTCATTAACCCTAATTTGATATATTAATGTTTTATGTTTTATATTAAAAGAAAATTTTGAAGTTTTACAAAAGCGATGATTACCTCGACTTCTTAATCGTAGTTTACTAGATAAGTCTTCAGTGGAACCATAGATAAAGTTTGCGTCGATTGATCCGGTTAAGAGATTGACATGAACTCTAGGACCTGAAATTGTTCATAAATTTTTTCAAATTTTAATAACTTTTTTTCTTTTTTTGGTTGCATTTCTTACTCTTGAACATTCTTACCAAGAGCGCAACTGGGTCGATGTCCGGCAATTGATCTTTTAAAATCCATACATGTCTGCCCATGACGTGAATAAAACGGATCGTTACGTGGAATTTCCAATGTCATACAATTCTTATGTTGTTTTTCGGGAGGTATTCCACAGCAGTCGAAATCCAGATCATTCGCATCTTGAAAAATGTTTTCAATATAAAATAAGCAAAAATTTTCTGATTGATTTTAAAGGAAAGGTTAAAACTATTTTTTACGTCAATCGAATTTTTAAAACAGGAATGTTCAATGTCAATAAAATAAGAGAAATTCACAGAAGGGAACAGTAATTCCAGTCTGGCCTACGCCCCATTTTATTTCCGGAAGGAGGTTGTTATCTGACAAGTAATCATAAAGTTTCGACCTTGCGGTACTGTATGCGGCTTACTGCAGGACATATTGTCCTTCAGTGATTTACACCAAGAAGTCGATAACAACAGGGCCAATAACTGGGTCAAGGGAAGTATTTCACCCGATGAAGGACAACTGGAGAAATATTTTAGCACGAGGACAATATATTCAGCGATGGTTCAATTTCTAAAAATGTAATTGATAATCCCTACTATCTTACCTCGAGGAGGGGAAGCTAGAGTTAAATCGTGATCGATGAATTGACCCCAAGACATAACTAAAACAGATAAATGACCACTTGGCTGATCGTGATCTCTGTGGATACTGCTGCTTACTAATCTGGCATTTGGAAGTGGACCACCGTCCACGACAGATACTCTAGGAGCGGAAATACCTGAAAGTTAGTTTAATTTGATCAAAATTTCGAAATTGGCATATTTATTTAAATAATTAGAATGAAGAAAATTACCATCTGCGTAAACTGGAGGAAGGAATCGAACAAAAGGAGTATTGGCCACACCCCAAGAAGGATGTTTCATATTGTTACAATGGGCCGTGTGACTTCTGTATCTTTCCATTGTGCATGGCATAGGTTTTACGTGAGCGGGACACACATCCCATATATCAGTACGAGATGTATCGATAAGAGGAAGACCATTGATGATTTCATCATTCGAAAGTCGGAACCTGTAATACGTTATAATTATTTAAGTTATTCTATACGATCAAGTCTAAATTCCAAAATTTGAATAAATTCTGACCTATTCGCCAAAATTCTGGTTACTTCCAATACAAGTTCAGCTGTAATATCAATATCACCGGGGTAAGGTTCCAGACTGTTGATTGTGGGAGGCTGACGATAATCTGAAAGAAACAAATATTGTAAACAATTGCAATTCGATGTTTATTCCAATATACTTGTTTCGAGCAACTGGTTACCCACCCAACTTTTTCCTGGCTTCTGCCACCGCATCATTGACATCCGAATATAGGATACAAACTTCTTCTTTAGGACTAGGCCGGCTGTAGAAAAATATACGAATGAATGAATTGATGACAATAAAAAAAAATAACCCTATTTCATTTATTTATTTATTTATTTGATAAATACCCGGGTTTGACAGAATCGTAAAGATAAGGATCCCTAAATCTTTCTCTGCTTACGTAAGTCCTTTGTAGTAATAGGGCACATTCGGAGTTAGGCGATGTTTCGGGGAATTCATTGCTGATCAAAGGCGCAACGAGTTCACCTTTGTATTGAGGTGAGGTTGACGGTAAACAGAACACGAACAGAATGACATATCTAAAAAAAAAGTACTTAGGTAATTTTATTATAGATAAATTTAGTTCATCATTTCAAGGTTACTGTGATATACTGTTTTTGTGCTAGGTGAGAAATATTATTTTATATATTCCGTTCTTGATCTACTCCGGTGAAAAAATATATACAAAGTTTTTTCCACGTTCTGAAATCAGACGAACTGATAATTTCTTAATAGCCAATAAGTAAAAAATGAAACGTCTCGGAAAATTTTTGATTGCTAATTGATAAGTGAATTAGCAATATATTACAAGCTGAAAGAACTAGTTCACCTTTCAAGCTGTAAAAACTTGAAAAACATTCAAATAGCATACACACGATATGAATCAAAAAAGAAAATAAATCTATCTCTTACTTCTGTGCAATATATTTTTCACTTTCGAAACATCAACATATGTTGGAATAGATGTCAAACCTGTGTAAAGATGTGGTGATAAATTTCAGAATCGATCTTCATAATTTTGTATGTGGTTTCTGTTATAAAAGTTAGAATTGGAATTCCTTTGGGATAATTTGAGAACTCTCAAACAACATCCCAAAACGTATCAGTTACAAATGAAATTCAAGGTTACACGAGGAGTATTTAATAATTCAATGACGAAAACCTTGTTTTGAGTGGCGAATGCGTGAGAAAGCTTTCATTTAAAACAATGTATTGTAATTTCCACCCGAACGAAAGAGACAAGTAAAGGGAGGCCACTTCCCACACTTCGTCTGATAGTTTGGAATAAACCAGTTTCGATTTCTCTACTAACCTATATTTGATATTGTTTATGAGACGAAAACAGCATAACTACAATATGAAAATATCTATTTCTCTTTTTGTAAAACATTTCTAAACTGACTCGGGAATTATGCAACGAAAATTAAAAAAAAAGATGACAATGTTATGTAAAGTATAACTGTTGCTTGTCGAAACGAGTTTTGACAGATGACACTTTCGTAGGAAGAACAATGCAGTGTCTGCACTTTCGCTAAGCAGGATTACCAAGGATTGAAGTCTTAGGTGTCGTCGACACCACACGCTCTACTGGAGATACATTATCTAATCATTAGTAAAACTAAGACTTAATAATTCGAAAAGTAATATGATTTTTTAAAATATATTCGAATGTTGAGCACGAAACTTTTTCTCAAATGAGCGTAATTTACTAAATTAGGTACATGGTACCGTATATGATTCGCTTTATCTAGACTGCAATTTGAATTTGAAAGAAATAGTCTATTAATCATTAAAATGGTATATTTTCTACTGATTTGTGAATCGTGATGTTTAATCTGTCTATTATTACGAGGTCAGAAAAAAGGGTACTTACTTCCACATTGCGCTTGGCACTACTCAGATATCCTTTCGATACAAGTGCTTTCCTTTTCTCACACACTTAAAGTAATCCAATGGTCTTCTCTGTTACCCGCTTCAATTGCTTTCACATGTCATATAAGGGGGTAGGTATTTCGACACAGAAACAAGTTCATTGGTCCACTGCCATAACACGTGATTCTGGTTCGAAGTAAAACCATTAGGCGGCACTAAAACTGGCTAAACTTCAAGCTTTTGCCTTAATTTGACTTTATAAAAAGTTAAATTTATTTGTTCTAGAATCGTATATTTTAAAAAATGCCACAATTAAATGTTGTGGAGTAAAATCGGAAGATATAAATTACACTTGAAGGGCAAAGATAACGCAGAAGCACGCTTATCCGAGATAAGGATGGTTTACCGACTCATCCCGCTTTTGTTCTGCGATTATTTTATAATTTCTTCTTAACAGAACTAAACGTGACTTTGGAAATATTAATTTTAAAGGTGTCAAGGAGATCTACCGTCTCTTCAAATGATGATGAACTTTATAAAGAATAAGAAAAAGACTATTAATTATTTAGATCAAACATTGATTGTTCCTTCGTAGAATGACTACAATGTTGAAAATTAAATTCTTATAAACAAACCATTTTTCATTACTAGACATTGGTATAGAGAAGGTGAGATTGCGTTGCAATAAAGAGAATAAGCAAATAATGATCTATTTGTTTTAAATGGATGAAGAACAGGTTAAACTTTCAAAAAAACTTCTAGATACTTTGACTGATAATTTACATTTCCAGAAACAATTTGTTTTTCACAATGAGATAGCTATCGTAACACAATGAATTCTTGATACTCCAGAGAAATAGTCGAGCTTTATTTTACAACAACAAGTTTTTTTTTACCATTTGCAAAATCATTTTTTAAACGAATTTTTAGTTCATTACATTTAAGATATAAGTTTTTAAGATTACTTTTATGTTTAACATAAAAATATAAAAAAATAAATATATATTAAGTGATCTGTAGGATAAAATATGGTTATGAAATTTATATCAGCATTAAATACTGAAGGAATGACACAGTTATGTACAGTAGATTTCTTGTGATCGAATAGATTAACACAGATACGTCACCTTTAACATTTTTATAACAATTTTCTCTCTCGACACGGTGCACAATATATAGTAATTTTGTTTTACTGTTATATTTTGAAATTTTCGTAATAATAGAAACATTACAAACTTAAAGTCAAAGGGATAATTTCTGTTATGAAAGCTTAATAAGTATATTAACAATAAGATTTAGGGAAATCAGCTCAACTGTTTTCAACTGTACGATTATCCCACGAAGCAAGAAAACTAAACAAGCAAGAAAAGAAGACTATTAATCCTTTTATTTCGAAAATTTTTGTTTACCAAAGAAGAAAAAAAAAAGGATAAACTGTGACGACAGAATCAAGAGGATAAAGATTGAAAAGAACAGGTTGGAATTTCAATTATTTTAATTGATTACGTTTTGTCTTAGGTCCACAAATGGTGAAAACAACCAGTTTTCTTATCGTCTGGGCAGACAATGAGAAGTGACCAGGAAGTGAGAAGATAAAAAAGACGAGTGACTATGATTGTTCTCCCACTTGGATCGCCTTTGATAAATAAGAAATAAAATAATTCATAATTCTAGGGAAAAGAGGAAACAGCGTAAACCGCATGGTAGAGCACGCGTTAAAAATAGGCATATTTGGGAGAAATTTATGGCCATTTATGATTATTTTGAACCTTATGAGAAATAATTAATTTCTTTCCGAAAAATTAATGTTACTAAAACAACGAGGTCAGCCGGCACCAGTTGGCCATAAAGTTGAAGGAACTGAATTGGATATTTTTCAGAATTGTTGTATTGACCTTCATTATTCTCTTTTAAAAAAAGTTTTAATTAGGTGAACAAAATATGACTTGATTTTACTTTATTAATATTTATTTAATTGTAAATTAATAACATTAAAAAAATTCATTTTAAATTTAAATCGTAACAGTCGAATGTTGAGAAAGACTTTGCCAATTTTATAAATAATTTAGAATAAGTAGTAAATAAGTATAAAATTTATATTAAAAAAGACTTAAGAAGTGTCTGCTTCACTGCACTTACATGAATAAACTGTTATTGTTCGGTTATTGCTGTAGAAACAGACTTAATTTTTTAAAAAATATGTGAGAAAGTAAAACTAAAAAGTAGAGAGAAACATTAATATGATTACATTTATTTTATAATTAAAAATTATAATTTATATTTAACTTGTCAGTCATTATGCTTGACATTTTATTATTTTTTTCTTATAGAAATTCATTCTTATAAGGGCGGATCCGGATATTGAAAATAATCACCAAATAAGAATTAGAAAGTCTTTTACATAAGTGAATTTAAGAATTTCCTCTCCGGTGTAGCTCCAGAAAATATTTTAAAATTTTTTAGCCCCTCCAGACAATCAAAAGTAACGCCCAATTATTAATCACCTTTAACTGTGTTAAAAGTCCGTAATTTCGCAATATAATCGAGAGTTTTATTTTTTTGTGTTCGATGCTAAATAGGAAAGTAAATGTTAATTTGGTTTTTACTCCATTTTCGTTTTCATCTGACGTCAAACAAAAACACGGTTTGAAATTACTTTTTTACCGTAATCACTTGTTTCAGACATGTCGTTAAGGAAAAAGAAAATCCCCCGAGTCGTGCGGGACAGTAATTTAGTCGAGAACGTGACTTCTTAAAGACGATTTTTGGTATACGACTTTAAAAATATTCTAATTTATGCTAATAAAGCTCTCCATTGTTATATTTACATTTTGGTCCCTACACTTGTACACGAAGTGATATATCGCTTCTGGTATTCTGTGTAATTTAGTTCCTTCTGTGCAGTTTAATCGAGATAAAGTACATTGAATCACATTGTTAGATCTAGATCGTCTTTGCTTAATGTGAGACAAATCTCGTCTTTTATATCGTTAATAAAGGAGGAAGTTCGTCGTTTTTGGCTTTTTTCTATTGTTAAATCCAATTAAATTTTTTCTTTCTCCTCTTTTACGAGGATTAAGTCTGCACCTTCCTTTATATCTGCTTCAGTTGCTGTTACGTCGTCCGTTGTGTATTGTTACGTATTGTTTTTCGACGAACTGTCCAGGAGTTCTGTCGACACAGATGTTGAGTAACACGCAATAAATCACTTAATACGATAAAATTAAAAAAAAAATCTAATTTAGTAACAGAGATAAACTCCCGAAAGATGCAATGATTATTATTACTACCGTTGTAAAATTCGATTAAAATTGTGTCGTTGGCTGTATATTTCCTCCCAGCCCCCGAGCCAAAGCTTAAATCTGACCTCGTGGTGCCGTATAGAGGGTGAAAGGGAGTGACACACTGAAAACACAAACGCCCGACCCACCCTAAACTTATTGTTAACTTGCAAGTTCACCTATATCTAGGCCTGAGTACGTTAACATGGAATTCCCATTCTCTGATGCATATATAGGAAGATTTGAATTACAATATGAAATATATTTTATGAGATACGTTTATTAAATATCGTTATAAATAATTGTTTACGACATTTTCATTTTTTACCAAATGTAAACATGGTTATAAAGTATTCGCAATTTAATATAAAATTAAGAAATTAGATCAAATAAATGCATAGTGGTCTTCCACCCGCATAAAATTTTATTTCGTTCACGTTTTACTTATTAACAAACCGATATACAGCCTATATACAACTTCCCCCCTCAAAGAAGGCAACACTTTTAACTTTTCGAAGGTCGAAACTACATTAATTATTTTTCCTCCGATTGGAAATCAATTAGGAAATTGATATTCAACTGATAATTTATGCAGAATTAGAAAAGAATAGCAAATGCATGGCGTACTAACGATGATTTCGCCCTTACGTAACAGATATTCACCTACTTAAACGTCATTAATTCGAATTATGAAATCAAAACAGGGTTGTTTTGTCAATGATCGTTTCTGTAAAGATCCAGATACTTTCAGCCTTCTAAACTAACATATTCTGAGCTACGAGAATGCGAATTAAAATTCCAACACGTGTCAATAAATAGGGCACACCCTGTTCTATTTTTTCTTTCGTGCTCTATCAGAAAAAAACTTTAACTTTGCTGTGGGATATGATCACATTGGTCAAATCCACAATTAAAAAAATAATAATTTTAAGGTGATATAAATAAAATAAATTTTTAACGAGATTCCCATGATCTAGATGACTTTGCAGAAATATAAACATCCATTTCTACTAGATAAAGTAGTTGAATCAAGTACAAGGTCTGCAATGTCGTGTTTAATTAATTCATAAAGTTTTTTGTCTGTTTACCTCAAGTTTATTCTATTCAGAAAGTTTATTTTTATTTCGAGAGTTTTATATTCAAAAATTTTGCTTTAAAAACTTTGTTTGAAAACGAAGTTCAAAAGTTTATTTCTTTAAATTTTATTTCTGGAATAGGTTTTTTTTTTTGTCTTTAAATAATTTAAAAACTGTTTTTGAATATAAAATTCTCGAAAGAAAGCATAAGTAAACGAATGCAAAAATTTTAAATGTAAATTTTATTTATCAAACATATTATTTTTAAATTTACTAATAAAAAGTTTCATGTTTAACTGTTCAGTTAGTGTAATTAGTCAGTGGTCAAAGCAGTTGTGAAATATGATTTCACTAATTTATGTTTTATTACGAACACCAAATGTGTATAAATTTTATTTCTTCTATACATCTAGGAAAAATTCTAGCTTAGATTAAGTATCATTTTTCCAAGATTATAGAGGAAAAACACTCATCGTTCAAATATAGGTTTATTGTGTAGATAATAAGAACATACAGTATCTGGTCAAAGAGTTACTCGATACTTAATACTGTGCAAGTTCTGAGTTCTTAGCTAATATTGGATTCTGATTAATGGACCAAAATTAAATATCAAATCCCGATTCACTTCCGGATATTAGAATGCCTTTTCCCAAACTTATCAAAACGACCACAAATGACTTAAAGTGACTATTTTTTCATTTTATTTTACTCCTATGCATTTCGGACTTAT